CCCGCTTTCCTCAGGCACCGCTTCCTGTAGATGTCCTGGAGGGAGGGAAGCTCCCCTCCAGTTATCCGTTCAGAGCACCGCACTACTCTCTGGAGAACTTTGCGGTTGTAAACAGTGCTGTTGCCATACCAGGTGGTGATGCATCCCGTGAGGATGCTCTTGCCGAATCTTTTCAGTCTCCTGAGAAAGAAGAGGCACTGCTGCACCTTCTTCAATGTTTTGTTTATGTGTCCTGACCATGTAAGATCCTCAGCCAGATGTACACCAAGGAACCGGAAGCTGCTCACTGTCTCCACAGCAGCTCCGTTGATGGTGGTGGGTGTTGTTACTTCTCTGCACCTCCAGAAGTCCACTATCAACTCCTTTGTCTTTGCGACGTTGAGGGTAAGATGGTTGTCTCGACACCAGTGGGTCAGGGCGCTGACCTCCTCCCTGTAAGCCATCTCATCACCGTCGGTGATAAGACCCACCACTGTAGTGTCGTCTGCAAACTTCACAATGATGTTGGAGTTGCTAGTGGCAGTACAGTCGTAGGTGTAGAGTGAGTACAAGAGAGGGCTCAGTAAAGACACCTCGGTGGAGCACCAGTGTTCATTATGATGGGGGATGAGGTGATGCTACCCAGTCTGACCACTTGGCGTCTGTCACACAGGAAGTTAAGGATCCAGCTGCAGAGGGAGCTGCTCAGTCCTAGATCCTGCAGTTTCCTCTCCAGCTTTGAGGGAACGATGGCATTGAATGCTGAGCTGTAATCTACAAACAGCATGTCTCTCTTCTCCAGGTGCGAGAGGGCAGTATGTAGTGTCAGGGCTATGGCGTCATCAGTGAACCTGTTGTGGTGGTATGCGAATTGTAGATGGTCCAGTGAGTTGGGTAGTTCAGAGCAGATGAAGTCCCTGACCAGCTTCTCGAAGCATTTGCTCACGATGGGGGTCAGGGCTACAGGTCGCCAGTTGTTCAGTGATGAGATGGCGGAGGATTTGGGTACAGGGACAATGGTGGCCATTTTGAAGCAGGCTGGGACTACAGACAGAGAGAGGGAAAGGTTGAAGATGTGTGTAAACCCTCCAGCCAGCTGAGCTGCGCATGACTTGAGGATGCGGGCGGGAATCCCGTCCGGACCAGTAGCTTTGCGTGCGATCACCTTCCTGAAGCACTTCCGCACATCCTCCTCAGACACAGTGTGCGCACACTGTTTGGTCTCATGGTGTTCGCTGTGTCGAATCTAGCGTAGAATATGTTTAGATCCTCACACAGAGAGGCTGTGGTCTGTGGTGTGCAAGTCTGTGATTGTGTTTAGCTCCACCACCACATACTCCGAGGGTTGTCAAACTGTTGTTCCACTCGGTCCCTGTACTCACGTTTGGCTGCTTTGATCATCTTCCGGATTTGGTAATGTAATGTTTGTAGTCCGATGTGTTCGCGGAGGCAAAAGCAGTGCTCCGTGCCGCCAGTGCCGTGCGAACATCTCTGTTAATCCACGGTTTTTGATTTGGGTAGGATTTTACTATTCTGGACCAGACAACATCTTCCACACATTTTCTGATAAATCCGCAGAATGAGTCTGTGTACTCATCGATGTCGTTAGCAGCCACGTGAAACATTTCCCAGTCCGCGTGATCAAAACAGTCCTGCAGCGTGGACTCCTATTGGTCCGACCAATGGTGCACCACCCTCAGGGTTGGAGCTTCCTGTTTCAGTTTCTGCCTGTAGGCGAGCAGGAGCAGGATGGAGCAGTGATCTGATCGGCCGAATGGGGCACAGGGGAGGGCTTTGTACGCATCCCGGAAGGAGGTGTAGCAGTGGTCAAGTAGCCGGTCTCCATGAGTGTTGAAATGGGTGTGTTGGTGGAGTTTTGGTGAAACTTTCTTCAGGTTTCCCTTGTTAAAGTGACTGGTCGTGATAAACGCTGCCTCTGGGTGCGCGGTTTCCTCACTGCTGATCGCGCTGTACAGTTCCCTGAGTGCTCGGTCAGTGTCGGCTTGTGGGGGAATGTAAACAGCCTTAATCATAACTGCTGTAAATTCCCTCGGTAGCCAGAATGGCTGGCACTTAATCATCAGGTACTCCAGGTTTGGTGAGCAGAAGGATTGGGTGCACGTTCGCATAATCACACCAGCTGTTGTTGATCATGAAACACACACCACCGCCTCTGCTTTTCCCAGTTAGCTCCTGTGACCTATCCGCGTGGTGCACGGAGAACGGAGTAGTTGTATTGCGGAGTCCGGTACCTTGTCCGATAGCCAGGTTTCTGTGAGGCAGATCACGCAGCAGTCCCGCATCTCTCGCTGGAATGAGATCCGTGCCCGAAGCTCGCACGGCTTGCTGTCCAGAGACTGCACATTAGCCATTAATAAACTGGGTAGTGGTGGTCTGTTAGTGCGCCGTCTCAGGCGAACCAGAATGCCAGATCTTCTCCCTCTGTGTTGGCGTTTGCAGCCTCCAGGGGCCCAGAATAAAGGCGTCTCAGGTGAGATGAATGGGGGTCTGCAAACGGAGTTGCAAAACAAACGGTGTTGCAAAACTTCGGAAAGTGATGAGAAAGTCCATCTCTTATGTCCAGTAAGGTTTGTCGGTCGTACACAAGGAGACATGTGCTACTCGTGAAAAAATAAAGGAAAAGTAAAATTAAACACAAAAACCAGCTGTTGCTTGGGGAAGCTCGCAACGAGGCTGCCACACTCTGCGCCATCTTCACGTCTCATTAAGATCAAGGTGGGCCTGCAACTATAGATAGATCACTTTCTCCAGAACTTTTGAAAGAAAGGGACGCTTCGAAATTGGCCTGTAATTAGCCAGAACAGGTGGGTCCAGATTGTGTTTTTAAAGAAGAGGCTAAACTATAGCTTATTTAAAACATGATGGCACATGTAGCAAGGGAAGTGCTGATTAATCTGTGGATAAAAGGCTCAACAGTATTAAAAGTATAGCTGTATAATTACAACTGACCAGAATAAAAAATAGAATAGAATAAAAAAATTGGCAGTAAACTAACCAAGATTAATCAGTTACTCTTTACATATTAGGCTGTTTTTGGAATCCAGTGTGTAGTTTTACTTAGCTAGAGAACAGTAAAAAAAACTTTTGTAGTTAATATTGAAGCCATTAAGTATCATAAGATATAACAGGAAAAAATTCTGGCAACCACACTTTAAAGATCTTAGATTATCTGGTAAGAATACCTGTTGACTTGGGTAGCTAGCATGGTATAAAAATAGCTCCATGTCTGCTTTTACAGAAATCTTTAAATCTTTGCTACATGCACACTACCTGTCAACAGTTTTAGATCACTGCTTAAAGGGTTAAAAAAAGGTTACCCTAAACTGAAAAATAATGTATATTTCAGAGTTATACAAAAATGTATTTTTGGGAATTGTAAAACTAATGTTGTAAAAAGCTGCGGTACCCCTGTCAGCATTATTTGAAGAATATTTGATGGCAGAAAGTGGTGTGTTTCTTTAAAAAAAACAAAAAAAAACAAAACAATTAACAATGGAAGTGAAACAGTACATCATAACTCTTAACCCTTTAAGACCTACCATAGAACCAAATCCGCCAGAGCTTACTTTATATTTTTACATGCTGTAGTGCCATTTTTGGGAGCATTTCAAGTTGCTATACATCAATACAACTGTTATAGACCAAATTTTAATAATATGTCTGCATTAAGTGCATAGTAAGTACTCGGATAACTTAAAAATTTAATTATTTGCCTTTTTTCGGGGTTTTATTTGTTCCGGAGTAAATCGGCTTGGCTGAGATCAAAGTTATTAGAATAGATTAGATAAAATAAAACTTTATTAATCCCCCGGGTGGGTTCCTGGATTTTCACACAGCTGAATAAACGTCAAACAGAAAACTGATTAAACAGAAGTGTGAGGCGGTCGAGAATTTACGCCAGTGTCCTGTTATATTTTAGATAGCAAGGAGCAGACGGCTGAGTTTATTAAACTCCACCGACACAGCGGTGACGCAAATCTGAAGGCTAGACCGTCCCATTTCACAGCCCCACACTTCCGGCCTTCTCGGTCTTCGAAAGACCCGGCCCACGTAGACCACGAAGGCCGGGTCCTCCGAAGAATGCAGCCGACGTTTTGGGACACAGCTACAGTGAAGCTGGAGGAGGAAGCTAACTTTTTTGTTAATGTGAGGGTTCATAATGCACTGCAAAAACTCAAAATATAACCAAGTACATTTGTTTTATTTCTAGTCAAAATGATCTCATCACACCTAAAATAAGACACAATCAGCTAAAGGGCAACATTTCAGTAAGCTAAAGGAACTTGTTTCAAGACAGTGAATCTTAAAACTAGAGAATTTTCATTTATTCCACTGGCAGATTTTTTCACTTATTTCAAACTAAAATATCTTGTATTAAGTGAAAAAGATCTGCCAATGAAACAAGTGAAAATTGTTTCACTGGCAGATCTTTTTAAGTACATGTTACATTGACAGATGTGTTATAGCATTTTTTTTTTTCAATACCTCCACTGCACCAGTGTCCGTACAAGGTGACGCAGCTGAGTGCTTTGAGAAGATTCTGAGTCTAACTAGTCCTGAAGCCTCACAGGTAAAGACTGCAGTTTAGATATTACAAATATGTTAATTAAATTTACATATAAGTTAACAGCCTGTGTGGTTGTCTTTTAAGATATTCCAGGGAGTGCTGACACACAGGAACAAATGCTCTACATGCAGTACAGAGACAGGAACAGATGATCCATTTTGGACTCTACCTCTTCAACTGGTGCAATCTGACATCAAAGACTACAATGTGGTAAGGACTGATATCTTGTCTACCTTTTTAATCCATTCACACTTTTCTAGAACATATTAGTTAGAGTAATTATACATATGTATATTTTTGTCAAGTATTTCACTATTTAAGCAAAACTTCATTTATATGAATATTTGCAAAAATTATGGGAAATGATTTATACCAGTGGTAGCATGATTTGATGGGTAGAAATGACCTTTTCATTTTATCTGTTAGTAAATTTCAGCATCAAGTGACATGATTATATTTTTCAGGCTCATGCCATTGCCAAATATTTCAGTCAATCAGATGCCAGTGGAGTAAACCAGCTATACTGTGACCAGTGTGGGTGCAAATGTGATGCTGCCATTGTAAGTTATCATTTTATTAAATAAAAAAACTAAGAAGCTGAAATTATTTTCAAAAAAGTTCCCACAAAGTACTGGCTTCCTAAAAAAATCTCACTACTTTTATAAGAGAGATGTAACACTTACCAGTTATTAAGGGGCCCCAGCACAGAGACAGGGATGTTTTAGTGTAGTCTTTTCAGACTGCAATCCCACATTGATTGCTCCAGCCGTTCTGCTGCCTAGCTTGTTTTGAGCTCTCATCACTCCCAGAATGTCCCAGATCGTTACTGAAATAGCATGCTGGGACATGGGAGGAGAGATGTACTGAAAAAAGCAAGGCAAGATTAGACAATTGTTGTCTGCTGTGTCCACTCTCTCCTGGCACTGCCACTGAACACACTGCACCGCTTCTCCCCTGAAGCTGAGCCATAGACCATACCCCTAAACAAGAGAATTTTTTTTTTTAAATTTTAAGTAAATTTGCAAACAAATCGAGTTATTCTTAATCTCAGGTACCCCTGTGATCCTAATGTGATCCTCTATATAAATCTTGTAAATAAATACATAAATCATATTTATAAAAACAAAGGGATGCTACTCTATTTTTTTCCCTCTGTATAAACAAGAAGACTCAGAGCACAACTTCTGTCAGTGGGCAATGACTATACTAAAACTTAGATGTTTTATGATATTTTTATTGCAACATGCTGACATGAGCCTCATAACATCCAAAGTAATATATCCTGATGTCAGCTTTGGTAATATGGAAATCCACAGTAATCATTTTTTATTATTTTTAAGGTCGACTTTGACCTTCTGCGCTAACAATGAGGGTCAAGGTCAAATGCTTAGCCAGCCAAATTACTCATATTCAGTGATGGGAATAACAGCATTAAAAGTAACTGCATTACTAACAGCATTACTTTTTTCAGTAACGAGTAATCTAACTAATTTCTATGTCTGTCATTACAACGCTGTTACCGTTACTAACAAGAAAATGCAGTGCAGACACGTTACTATTTTTCAACACAGACTGTTGAAGCTGTCTTAAGCTTACTGGGAGCTAGGTGGGGCGAAACAATCGCACGAGTGCTGCTGATTGGCTGAGGAAGAATAAAGTAGTTGTGGTAAACCAATCACATGACCACTTTAAGATGACATAGCAACAAGATGCTATATACCGGTTTTTAAATTGTGTTGATAGGTCACGTAAAACCAGAGTGATGATAAAAAACAAAATATACGGTATTTTTCGGACCATAAATTGCACCAGATTATAAGGCGCACTGTCGATGAATGGGTCTGTTTTCATACATAAGGCGCACCGGATTATAAGGTGCATTAAGCGAAACAAAACAGTCAGATAAGTCAAACTTTACTCAACTCATTCTTATTGCTTCCTCCACTTCCGTACCATTGATTCATTAAATGGTAAATGGCCTGTATTTATATAGCGCTTTACTAGTCCCTAAGGACCCCAAAGCGCTTTACACATCCAGTCATCCACCCATTCACACACACATTCAAACACACTGGTGATGGCAAGCTACATTGTAGCCACAGCCACCCTGGGGCGCACTGACAGAGGCG